TCTGGCAGCCACAGCCGGGCCCCATCCTGGGCTGGGCTGCGGGGTGCTAGGACCATGCTGGGGCTTCTGAGAGGTTGAGGGTTCGGAGGGGGCTGTCCTGGGGAGAGGACTCCCTCCAGCAGGACCACTCCGTGGCCCTCACCCGCACTATGGGGCACCTCACCTGGCTGCAGAAAGCCCTGGGCTGGGGCTGGCAGGTGCCGCTCTCTGCACCCCAGCCCTGTGGCACTTCGAGTACATCGCCTGCTAAGGTGCCTGGGCTTGCCAGCAGCCACAGGCCAGAGCCGGCACCTTACCTCAGACAGCACCGAGGCGAGGCACAGGGACGTGCACTCCTACAGGGATCACTTGTCCTCTTCCCACCAGATGCTTCCCCTGGAACTGATGTGCAGGAAGCAGGGCAGGGGCCGCAATTGGGGGGGAGGGAGAACACCCCACTCCCCCCCACACACATTCATACCTGAAGTCTATTTACCACAGGCCAAGCTCTGAACTGTAACACCACTCGTGTGCGGGGCAAGGAGTTTGGAAGCTGGGAGCAGCACAGCTTCTGGGGCAGGGAGTTTCTCGACAGAGGCAGGGTGACAAATTGTCCCAGTCATCAGATGACCCTGAAAGCAATGCGAGCCAACCCAGTTAAAAGGACAGAAACAAGGGGTAGGAAGGAAAGGAGGGAGGTAAATAGTCATCCCCTCCCACTGCTGTTCCAGTCATAAATGATCTAGAAAAGGGGTGAATAGTGAGAAAGCAAAATCTGCAATGATACAAAATTACTCCAAAGCAGCCTGAGCAATTACAAAGGGTCTCACACACCTGGGCTGGGCAAAGGAACAGCAGAGAAAATTCTGTTTTGATAAACGCAGTGTGATGTAGTGCGCAGGCCATACCCTCCAGGCAGACTCCGATGGCTGTGGGCAGGGGTGACCCTAGTGGCCGGTACCTGTAGCACTGCCCAGCAGGACAGCTGCCTTAAGTCATGTAGGCAAAGACCCAACCTGTCTGAGTTGAGGGCAGGCAGGGAACAAAGGGAGGGAGGTTTCGGGGGAAGAGGCCGTTGCTGGCTGGGAACCTGAAGGAAGCAACCTAAACTGAGGGCTGAGGGTCTAGTGATGACAATCGACCCCCTAACCCAAGGGGGCTGAGGCATCCTAGCCCTGACTCCTGAAACCACATCACATCTGTGCTGTGCTTTTGCTTTGCTGTATCCCAGAGGAGCAATAAACCCTTTCTATACTGGTTGGCAGAGTCACATCTTGCTGCAGACGGGGTGCAGGATCGGGGGGTACCCAACATACCGCCACACAAAGTAATGCTCGTGGTAAAATATAATCCCAAGTAATCATCCAAACGGATGGGTCTAACTTAGCTGAACCCATCCATGACGAGGTCAGAGTTACAGAGGATAGTGCTCTGAAAACATCTCCTCAATGTACAGTGGGCAGTCATTAGGAAAGCCAAAAAATAGATTGCTTCTGGATAAATGCAGGGTAGGCCCACAGCTTGAACCTGGTGTGCAGATTTGGTCACCCCATCTCAAAACCGGTACCTTGGCTTTGGAAAAGGCCCAGAGAAGGGCCCCAGAAACGATTAGGAGCACTGAACACGTTCCTGTGGAGGAGAGGTTAAGACAGGAACTTCTCAGCTTGCAGAAAGATAAGGCAGAAGTCAATCAAACCATGAACAGGGTGGAAAACCTGACTAAGGGATGTTCTTTACTCCTTCACATAGCACAAGAACTAGGAGTGACGCCATGAAATTAATAGGCAGCAGATTTAAAACAAAGTATTTCTTCGAGCTGTGGAACTCTCTGGCAGGTGCTGCGAAGGCCAGAACTGTACGGGGGTTCACCTAAGAACTGGCTAAGTCTTTGAGGACATTAGCCAGAGATGCTGCACCATGTTCTGCGTGTCCCTCACTGGTTTGCTAGAAGCTGGGAATGGATGACGGGAGGGATCACTGGATGATTCCCTGTTCTGGTCTTTCCCTTCAGAGCACTGGCCACTGTCAGCAGGCAGGACGCTAGGCTGGATGGCCACTGTTCGAGACGAGCCATTTCAATGATGCCAGATGCATCTGCCCACCACTGTAACCCACTAAGCCCCCCTCTCCCCAGACTGAGATGCCAGGAGCCCTGAGAGGATTTCTCTGGCTGACAAGTCAGTAGCAAGGAATACACATTTACACCTGTCCCTTGTGACTTGCTGTAAGATGTCAGAACATGCTGTTTGAGCTAAACGGACCTACACTATTTTCCTTTATACAGGTAGCAAATACAGGGCTTCAGGCCATTAAAACGGCTAAATAATCTGCCAAAAACCTAGTCTTCAAGTGCCTAAAATAGCTCCTGGAATCAGAGTTAAAGCTGCTCCCCAACCAAGATCTGAACAGGCACGCTCGTGTCACTCAGGTTAACCAACCCCGCCCCCTTGACCAATGGAGCAGCCTGGAGGCTGAAGAGCAGAGCCCAGGCCAGGGCCAGAGGGCTCCAGAGCAGGCTGAGACACTACAGAGTAACTGGAGCCTGTAGTTCTCAGGCAGCCCCAAGGCACAGCTGGGGCCTGGCCAGTTTCAGCCCCATTGGTTAAAGCCTGGCCTGGAAGAGAAACCCCTCTGGCCTCCCCAGAGCGCTCAGGCTCCCCCCACCATGACCCATCATGATCTCAAGCCCTCAGGTCTGGCCAGAAGAGTCAGATTTATTTTTTGTGGCTAAAAAGAAATCCCCCTCCCTCCCCCGGTTTAACACAACAGCCCAAGTGGAGAAGGCAGGGCCAGGCTGCTCGAGTCCAGTCCCTCCTGGGGCCAGTTCCAGCTCTGCAACACGGTCTGGCTAGCTGGAGACAGGCAGGTCTGATGTGAGGTACACAGGCACTTACTGCCCCCCGTGGGCAGCTGGATACTGCCTGGGCTGGCACACGGCCAGGGCCCTGCTGCATCTCAAGCATGCTGGTTCAGAGGGTTCAGGATTCCACGGCAGTGCTGAATCATGCAAAACGGCCATGCTGAAGTCACGCTCCCTGTGGGCCCGAGCCCTGCGCACGCCCCAGGCAGGAGGGTGAAGGGCTGCCTCAGTGGCTCCCATCAGCCCGCTGTGTCCCGTACTTCTCCAGGTATCTCCTGTGGGGCAGGAAGAGTCCATTAGTCAGGCACCAACAGGGTCTGGGGAGGGAGCGGATTCCCCAGGGTGGCAGCTAGAGGAAACAGAAGACGGGCCTCTTGGGTTCTATTCAGATGACACTGAACTGCGGAGGGGGTGGGGGGCTGCCTCCCTGACAAGAGCCTGGGGTTCACATGCAGGCAGCAACCAGCGGCGCTGACCTGGAGAAAAAGAACCTGGTCCCAGCACCGTGTAATGAAGGGAGGGGCAGTGCCTCCATGGCTGTGACCCCTCCCCTCTACTCTGCACTAGGCTCATAGGGCAGTAAAGTTACCAGGGGCTCATCGGACCTTGCCCCGCCCCCGTGTCTGACTCAAGTGTAGAGACCAGCCACGTACCCTATAGCTCTGAGGTTCCTCCAGACGTGGTCCTGACCCTCCTGCCACTCCCAGACAGCTGAAAACTGCCAGGGGGTCATGAGGAACCACTTCCTGGGAGATAAGAAACTGCTCTCAGCTCCCCGGGGCCACGCCAGCGGGGAGCTGGCAAAGAGCCTCCTCCCAGCACGATGGGGGGAGGCCAGTCAAACACCACAGGCAGCTCTGCTCTCCGGAATCTGGCATGTGGCAGCTGCCCTCACAAGCACAAGTGTAACCAAAGTTGTCAAGTTGCTCCACAGGGCTGCACTGAAATCGGAGGTACTTTCTGTAGGCTTGGTTCACATCCTGCAAGATGTGGGGATGGGGATGATGGAGGCAGGCGTTCACATCCCGACCCTGTGACAGTGCGTGTTCAGTCAGCGTCTCCAAACCTAGGATTGCAAGACAACCCCCTTCTCCTTCGGAGTGAGGAAATACCTTCCCCCAGCTATTCCCACACCGACTGGGTACATGTCACCTCAGGACGGAACGCAGAGATGAATTTTTTTGGATACCTTAACTGACTGCTTCTTGGAGCAGCTGGTTCTGCAACCCACAAGGGGAGAGGCAGTCCTAAGTGGAGCGCAGGGTCTGGTCCAGGAGATAACTATAGTCATTCCTCATTTAACACGTGCCCGCTTAACACGTTTTCGCAACAGCACCATTTTTTTTTCCTAGCCAGGGGGCAAAATACCAGACTGTCGGGGTCAATATCGGACACCTGGCAACCTACAACACAACCAGCAATTGGGCCCAGACTCCCCTTCTCCCCCACCCCCGATTTACCTGGTTCTGCAAGGGAGCTGTCTGGCCAGTCCCTCCTATCCTTAAAGGGGCCATGCTGATTTTTTAATTTTTTTTTGCTTAACTCTCTGGGTCCCTTTTTTTTGGCTCAACAACTTTGGTCCTCTTTTTGAAAAAATTTTTTTCCTTTTTTTTTTTGGGGGGGGGGGGGAGGGGAGTGGTCTGTATTTTTTGGTTAAAGCATCTGGCAACCCTAACCCAATCCCCCTCCGCTCTCCTTCCCTTGCCTTCCCGAGAGCCAAACACCTCCTCTCCCTGCTGTAACCCAGTCCTCTTTCTCCCCCAACCTTATGTCCCGGTCCCAACAGACACCACTGCTTGAAACACAACCCCCACCTTTTGTATTATTTTCAGTGGGAAAATTGACCCTGCATAACACGTTTTCACTTAACACGATCATTTTCTGAAACGTATCTATAGTGTTAAACGAGGAATTACTGTACGTAGATTTCCAGAAAGCCTTTGACCAGGTCCATCACTAAAGGCTCTTAAGGAAAGTAAGTTGTCATGGGATAAGAGGGAAGATCCTCTCATGGATGGATACCCGATTAGAAGACAGGACACAGAGGGGAGTAAACGGTCAGTTTTCAGAGTGGAGAGAGGTATTATGGGATAAACTGGAGAAAATGGAATAAATTGCCAAGGCAGGCCATGAAATCTCCATTACTGGAGATATTAAAGAGCAGGTTAGAGAGACAAAGACCTGTCAGGGATGATCTAGAGCAGTGTTTCTTAAACTTTTTAAGACCGAGGTACACCAAACAATTTTTTTTATGAAGAACACCAAGGATTTTTTGTTGCGCAAAACAAAAGTCGAGGGGAAAAAGGGTTGGGGGAAGTTACTGAGGAAAAAGGGTGCCTGCCCCTTTAAGGGAGGCCATTTTGAATTCTGTTTACTGCTGCATACCTCCGGCAGCCAGTGTGCCATGGAACACAGGTCTAGATGTTGCTTGGTCCTGCCATGAGGGCAGGGGACTGGACTCGATGACCTTAACTGCTTGAGATAGTTAAGACCAAAGCAGACTGTGAAGAGCTTCCAAAAGTGTTTGGGCAACAAAATGGCAAAGGGAATGTAATGTGGATAAATGTAAAGTAATGCACATTGGGAAAAGAACCCCAGCTAGACACAATGTACAATCTGATGGGGACTGATTTAGCTACAACTACCCGAGAGAGCTCTTGGCGTCATCGTGGACAGTTAGTTCTCTGAAAACATCCACTCGGTGTGCAGCGGCAAACAGAAGGTTGGAAAACATTGAAAAAGGGACAGAGAACAAGACAGAGAATCTCTTATTGCCTCTAGAGAAAACCTTGGGACAGCCGCATCTTGAATACTGTGTACAGATGTGGTCACCTCCTCTCAAAAAAGATCTGTGGGCATTGGAAAAGGTTCAGAAAAAGAGAACAAAAATGATGAGAGGTTTGGAATGAGTCCCATATGAAGAGAGATTAAAAAGACTTGACTTCTCAGCTTAGAAAAGAGGAGATGAAGGGGGGATATGATAGAGGTCTGTAAAATCATGAGTGGTGTGGAAAAGGTGAATAAGGAAAAGTTATTTACTAGGGCAGTGATTTAAAAAAATTAATCACGATTAATCATGACATTAAACAATTGACTCCAGCTGCCCCGGGCTCCACTTGGCGCTGCCCCTTTGAAACACTGCGGCTGCGTTTCAAAGGGGCAGTGCTGCACAGAGCTGGGTCAGCTGGGGTCTCCAGCTGACCTGGCTCTGCTTTGAGATTTGCACCATGGCATTTCAAAGGGGCAGCACCACGGAAACTCCTGCGATTAATGTGTGTTAATTATGTCCTGCGTTAACGCACATTGACTGATAGCCCTATTATTTAATCTGGAGTCCCCAGCTGATACCAGGCTCCTAATGCGCTGCCCCTTTGAAGCGCTGCTGCAGCACTTCAAAGGGCCAGTGCTGCATGGAGCTCGGGGTCAGGTAGGGACTCCAGGTGATCCCAGCTCCACTTGGCGCTGCCCCTTTGAAACACTGCGGCTCAAAGGGGCACCACTGCACAGCTGATCCCAGGTTCCGTTTGCACTGCCCCTTTGAAATGCCATGGCAAGGTTAATTCTGCCCTGCGTTAATGCGCGTTAATTGACAGCCCTAGTATTATTGTTACATTTCAGAATTCTTCCCTTTCCCTGTGAGATATGGGTATTATCAAACTGACTATGGTTACTTTAAGGGAATGGAAGTGGGTAGCAGCAGGTATCAACGGCTGCCCACCATAGGACACTAGACCTGACCCAGTATGGCAAGTAGTGAGGTACAGGCTTGAGGGACCAGTGTTTTGAGCTGCCAAGCAGATCCTATGTTCTCATAACACATAATTGTGAACTCTGTGGTAGGATAGATGATAAATGCCAACCGCTTCATCGTCCATGAAGGATGAGTCGGTGCCCATTTCCTGTGGTGGTCCTAGGGCTGGATCCATCTCTGGGTAATAGCCACTTGCGTAGTAATCCTATAATCAAGAGGAAAATAGGTTTGTCATCAAGATACTAGAACAAAACTAGACACAGGTACCAAGATGCAGCACTGGATCTGGAATACGATGCCGGGGGGGGGGGGGGGGGGGGTGGACACAGTACTCCAGATGTGGCCTCACCAAAGCCGAATAAAGGGGAATAATGACATCTCTGGATCTGCTGGCAATGCTCCTCTTAATGCATCCTAATATGCCATTAGCCTTCTTGGCTACAAGGGCACACTGTTGACTCATATCTAGCTTCTCATCCACTGTAACCCCCAGGTCCTTTTCTGCAGAACTACTACTTAACTGGTTGGTCCCCAGCCTGTAACTATGCTTGGGATTCTTCCGTCCCAAGTGCAGGACTCTACACTTGTCTTTGTTGAATCTCATGAGATTTCTAGTGGCCCAATCCTCCAATTTGTCTAAGTCACTCTGGACCCTATCTCTGCCCTTAAGCGTATCTACCTCTCCCCCTAGCTTAGTGTCATCTGCAAACTTGCTGAGGGTGCAATCTATCCCCTCATCCAGGTCATTAATAAAGATATTGAACAAAACCGGTCCTAGAACCGAACCTTGGGGCACTCCACTAGAAACCGACCTCCATCCTGACATCGAACCGTTGATCACTACCCGCTGGGCCCGGCCTTCTAGCCATCTTTCTATCCATCTTACCGTCCATTTATCCAATCCGCATTCCCTTAACTTGCTGGCAAGAATATTGTGGGAGACCGTATCAAAAGCCTTGCTAAAGTCAAGGTATATAACATCCACTGACTTTCCCATGTCCACTGAGCCAGTTACCTCATCATAGAAGCTAATCAGATTGGTCAAGCACGACTTGCCCTTTGTGAATCCATGCTGACTATTCCTGATCACTTTCCTCTCATTCAAGTGTCTCAAAATGGACTCCTTTATGATCCCTTCCATGATTTTTCCAGGAACCGAGGTAAGACTGACCGGCCTATAGTTCCCTGGATCGTCCTTCTTCCCTTTTTTGAAGATGGGCACTACATTTGCCTTTTTCCAATCATCCGGGATTTCGCCCGATCTCCACGACTTTTCAAAGATAATGGCCAAAGGCTCCTCAATGACATTTGCCAACTCCTTCAGTACCCTTGGGTGCATTAAGTCTGGACCCATGGATTTGTGTACGTTTAGTTTTTCTAAATAGTTCCTAACCTGTTCTTTACCTACCATGGGCTGTCCATCTTCATCCCATCTTGCGTCACTTGGCGCAGAAGTCCAGGAGTCGACCTTGTCCGTGAATACAGAGGCAAAGAAAGTATTGAGTATTTCAGCTTTCCCCACATCATCTGTCACTAGGTTACCTTCTTCATCCATTAGGGGCCGCACACCCTCTCTGATCACCTTCTTCTTGTTAACATGCCTGTAGAAACCTTTCTTGTTATCCTTCACATCCTTAGCCAGTCGCAATTCCATTTGCGCTTTCGCCTTCCTGATAACCCCCGTCATTCTTGAGCTAGATCTTTAAACTTCTCCCTGGTCATTTGTCCAAGTTTCCACTCTTTGTAAGCTTCCTTTTTGTGCTTAAGTTCACCAAGGATTTCCCCTGTAAGCCAGTCCGGTGTCCTACCATGTTTGCCTCTCTTGCTACGCGTCGGGATGGTTTCTTTCTGTGCCTTCAATAAGGCTTCTTTAAAATACTGCCAGCTGTCCTGGACTCCTTTCCCCTTCATGTTAACATCCCAGGGGATTCTGCCCATCAGATCTCGGAGGGAGTCAAAATCTGCTTTTCTGAAGTCCAAAGTGTGTATTTTACTACTCTCTTTTCTTCCTTTCATCAGGATCCTGAAATCTACCATCTCATGATCACTGCTTCCCAGGCTGTCACCCACCTCCACTTCCCCTATTAGTTCCTCCCTGTTTGTGAGCAGAAGGTCAAGCTGAGCACAGCCCCTGCGGACCCTTCAGCTCTTGTGTCAAGAAGTTATCCCCAACATTCTCCAAAAACGTCCTGGATTGCCTGTGTACTGCCGTATTGGTTTCCCAGCAGATGTCAGAGTGATTAAAGTCCCCTACGAGAACCAGGGCCTGCGATCTGGCAGCTTTGCTCAGTTGTCCGAAGAAAGCCTCATTTACCTCATCCACCTGATTCGGTGGCCTGTAGCAAACACCAACCACAACATCACTGCTGTTGTTTGCTCCTTTAAACTTAACCCATAGACTCTCAACAGGTTTTTCTCCCTCTTTATACTGGAGTTCAGAGCAATCGTAGTGCTCTCTTACATATAGTGCAATTCCTCCTCCTTTTCTCCCCTGCCTGTTGTTCCTGAACAGTCTATACCCTTCCATGACAGCGCTCCAGTCATGCGAGTCATCCCACCAAGTCTCTGTTATCCCAATTAAATCATATTTCTTGGTCTGGGCCAGGGCCTCCAGTTCTTCCTGGTTTTTGCCCAGGCTTCTCGCATTAGTGTACAAACACCTCAGGTAACCAGTTGATCGTCCTATCTTCTCCATTCGAAACAATTCGAAGAAAGCTCCATTCGAAGCTTTTCTTCACGCATCAGAGTCAACCTGTGCAACTCCTTGCCAGAGGATTTGGTGAAGACTACGACTTTAATCAGGGGTCAAAAAAGAGCTAGGTAGATTCATGGCGGTTAGGTCCATCAGTGGCTATTAGCCAGGATGGACAGGAATGGTGTCCCTAGCCTGTCTGTATATGGATGACAGGGAAGGGATCATGTGATGATTACTTGTTCTGTTCCCTCCCTCTGGTGCATCTGGCACCGGCCACTGTCAGCCGACAGGACACTGGGCTGGATGGACCTTTCGTCTGACCCAGTACGGCTGTCCTTAGGTTCAGTCTCTATTTGTACCTTTGCCATGGCTTCTAGATGAAGCAACAGGACTTCATCGGCAAGGCAGCGGCTCCTTCACCCACCCGCAGACAGTTGAAAGCGGCACTGGACCCGGTGTAAAAAACACAACCTTCCGAAGCCACCTAGCCCCATCTGCCATGACATCAAGATGGGGTGACAGACCTTCGTGCCCCTGTCTGTCAGATGATGCCAGGCAGAATGGGGCTAGGTGCCTTCGGGAGGGTGTGCTCTTGCCTGTCCTATCGACTTGCTGACGGGTTTGAGGCGAAGGACAGACAGTGCCCACACTGTATCCTGGATGCTGTGCACATGGCATTCTGACCATGTGGGGCGTGCTGCTGGGGCGGGCATGGCCTGTGGAACAGAGGGGTGCAAATTCCCAGGGAGTTCAGGACAGTCCACCTGCTCTCTCGGCAGCCCGGAGCCCTCACAGGGCACATCCTCAATGACAGCCCAGAGCCAGGGTGCACAATCCATGGACACCGTAGTGCCCAGCAACCTGGCCATGCGATCAGAGGCATCCAACTGCTGTTACATCCTTGAGCTCTGCGCTGCAGTCGTGAGGGTATCACCCACGCCGGAAGTCACACCTGGCCAGCAAGGCCTGACAGTCAGCCATGCACAGCTGCAACACAGCTGGAGTCGGACCTCTTCCCAAGCCAGTCAAAGCATCTGGTATCCTTGTGCTCTTGCTCTCGCTCAGCTTCTCTTGCCAGCCAAGGTTTCTCAGGAGGCTGTGTCAGTGAGTGCACAACATCAGAGCCTCAGACAGCGTCCAGTAACTTGTGAGATTTCTCCAATCTAGCCAAGGGTATCAGCAGCTCCTAGAACAATGGACTGGAACACTGTGCCGACACTGGCGAGACCAGGAAAATCTTCAGTGCTGAGACAGGATGTCATGCTGCCCTGTGCCGGGTGGTCGGGCCTGCTGGAGACAGCTCCTCCTTTCCTCAAATGGTGGAGACAGGCTTCTCCATGCTGGCCACGGGGGCTAGCCCCCCCACAGGACAATCTACTCTCTAGGTGGCTCAGGCGCTTCTCCAGAGCCGGGTTCCACCAGCTGTTCAGACCTGGGGGCTGGGAGGGGGGAAGAGAGAGGCAAAGACTTTGTATGCTCTCCCACCCCCAGACCAATCCCAGTCTGAGGGTGGGGTAGCACGGATGAGCCCTGGCCCTGCCCCTTCCAAATTTCTGAAGTGGCCCTCGGTCACAAATTACTGCCCACCCCGTTCTCATGGGAGGATCCCAGCTCCTTCATACCTGCCCCAGTGTGCAGAGACTTTGGCCCCAAGGTGCTGGTGCCAGCTTTGACATTGATGCCCGTGTCTGACAGATCCTTCCTTGGGGCTGGCGTCTCAGGGCTTGCCTGGGGCACGGCCTGCGCCTGCCCGAGACAGCAATGCTGCTGCCAGAGCTTGTTCCCCTGGGCCCTGGCGAGTCAGCCTCACATCTCATCGCACGTGGTCTGGCAGCAACGGCCAAGCACAGTGAATATGCAAGTGCCCCAGGGAAGAGAGAGACACTGTCCATCCAGGGAGAGGAGTCCAGTGCAGGACAGACAGGCCTGGAAGCCCAGAGCTGAGCGCACTGTAATTAGCCTGTATGGGCAGAAGGTCTGAGCATCAGAATGCAATCCCAATGGGGAGGGTCAGCTCATGGCAGACGAACCGCCAATCAGATGCTCGTCTGAAGACCACGGAAGTTCTGATGAAGTTTAAGCCTTTGCTGGGAACTGCTGGTTCCATTTCAGTGCCATTGGCAGTGCGAGGGGACAGAGGGCCAACAGCTGGCCCACCTTCACGCATGTACAGAAGAGCATGGCAGCACGGGGCTCACGCCAGTCCGGGCAGACACTGGGACTCCGACAAGCCTATGGCCTGCTGTGCGGAAGGAGCGGGAGCCACGCTGACGAGTTACGTGGGCTGAAGTGTGTTCCAGAAAGGCAGACCCAGACATATCCCAGGGCAGGCCCCTTCCACTGCCCCAGGCAGCCTGCCTTTGTACCCCAGCACTCTGGGGAGAGCAGGCCGAGATCACACTGCACTCATGCTCAGTAACTCTGGGTGCACTGACGAGAGCTCGCAGTCACGTGCTCTACAAACCAAAGAATCCCCATTGTACCAGCAGGTCACGTTCTCCACGGGGAACGCCTCTCCCCTCAGCTCCATCTGCATCTGCTCTCCCTCCTTCCAGGGAACGGAGCATTTACCACCGCCCCCAGAGGGTGAATCACCCTCACTGGCCCTACTACCAGCTGGAACGGATCTGGCTTTGCTTCCTCTACTAGATTAACGAGCCTGTTAGTCCCCTGGATTGCGTCTCAGCGAAATCATCGCTTCTCAGTCTCCTTTTTGCTCGGCTAACCGGACTGAGTTTATAAGTCTCCAGCTACCCGGCATTTCTCCACACACCAACCTTTGCCTGGCTCTTTCTGTAGCCTCTCCAGTCGGCCTGGTGTAAAACACAGCCCTGAAGTTGGGGCCCTGATCCCCCTCTGCTCCTATGCCTACTCGACAGGACCTCAGTGGCCCATTTTGACCCAGAGGGTGCTCAGTCCTGAGCCAAAGGCTGCCAGGTGGAGGCATGGCACCGTAGAGCAGTTAACTTCCTCAAACACACCTGTAAGCCCAGAGGATTAATTCAGGATCACAAGTGCCATTTGCCATGAAGTCCTATGGCTCGGCACAGCAGGGAGCGGACAGCCCTACCTCACGCCCAGGGAGGTGACACAGGTCAGAGCTGTCCCAGAATCACAGGACAAAGGAGCCGAATGCAGCCAGGCTTGGGCATGCAGGGCGCAGCGGCGCTCAGGTTCAGACAGGGAGTGCTGCAGCCATGGCAGAGCCGTGGAGGGGCCGGCACTCACCTTCTGGCGTAGGCATACAGCACATGTTTCCGCTCCTGCAGGGACAAATGCCTCTCCACAGGCGACCTCGCAAAGAGCTTCATAGATGGCTGAGGGAAGAGAGCATTCAGGGAACAGCCCCACTGCACGGCCAGGCAAGCAGCCCAGCGCCCCCCCGGCCTCTTCCCAAGCTCAGCGTTCGTGCCTCCGTGTCCATCCGCACTGGAGGCTGCAGAAGACTCTAGTCCCATTAGCATCCCAGGCTGGCGTCTGAGAGGCCACAACCGAACCAGCCCCTGGTGCCCAGCTCCCCACACTGCCAGGCCGTGGGCCAGGCAGCCCATCACCCCCATTCTCTGCCCTGGCTCCTTCTCAGCTCTCTCGAACCCCAGATACCAGTTCCTGGGGCAGGGCCCAGTAAAGCCCTGAGAGCGCAGGTGGGGTCAGCCTCCCCGGTCCCCCTCCGGATGTCCTGCCATCAGGCACCTTGGTGGAGGATGAAGTTGCAGCGCACTGAGGGCTGGAAGCCACTGGAGTCTGGGACGTAGATGCAGCAAGGCAGCCAGTCCCCAGCTCTTTGTCCTCAGGGAGCAGGGGCACCCAGCCCTCCAGGAGGTTGGCGATGGTAGTGTCCACACAGTTGGTCTGGGCTGTGGGGACAGAGGTGCTCAGTTAGAGGGGGGCTCTGCTGAAGCTAAGAGACCTGTGCAGGGGTTTGCCATCTCCCAATGAGCCCCACAGCATGGACAAGGCCTCCCACCTGGAGGTTACAGGATTCTGACAGGACATGAGAGGCAGCAGCCAGCCTCTGCCCCACAAGGTCAGCACACGCTTACCCAGGTCTCTCCTGATGGTTCCCAGAGACACATGTGGGAGCACCTCCTTAACCCGCTGGGCCATCTCTGCGATCTGCACATCCTCGGAAGCAGGAGGCCCAACACCAGCCAGGGTGGGAGATGCCCTGCGCTCAGCATCCCCGGGCTGGCCTGCAGCTGCAGGGGTAAAAGCAGAGGGCATGAATGTGCAGCTCACGGGAGAGGGAAGGGCCTCAAGCTGTACTGGCCACGGGAGCTACAGCCCACTGGCACCTCTAGCTCACACAGGTTCACAGAGCCCTTGCTGCACGGGCCTGCCCATGTCACAGTCTGGAGTAGGCAGGCTGGGTAACGCCCCTCCCCCAGTGGAGGCAACTGCCAAGGCAGAGAGCGGGCAGCGGGCGCCACCGCACGGGGGGGGGAGGGCAGGGGGGCAGCGGGGCGGGCACGCAGGCATCCCCACACCGGAAGGCCAGGCATGCACTCTGAGCAGGGAGGGCAGACACACACCTGAGGCCAAGAGGTGAGGCGGGGTGTGTCGCAACCTCTTCATATGCTCAGCTTTATCCGCTGCAGTGAGTCGTGTGGAAACCACGCCCAGCTCCACAGCCAAGAGCTACAGAAAACACACAGGAGAAAGTCAGCAGTCACATGCCCAGGCAACAAGGCCCAGGAATGGGCGTGTGCACAGGGGCGTGCCAAACACGTGCAAGTGCCAGGGGTGTTAAATTTAGATTAATTGGGTAATCGAAGAGTTGGTGCAACTGGCCTCGACTGTTCGATTAGTCGATAAGGGCGCCTCCGACTTTGAAGTCTAACAAGAGCCCCGGGGCAGTTGCTACGCAAAGGCAAGTGCTGCAGGGAACACAGGCCAACGGACTCAAGCAGTCCCCGGCTGGCATTTCAAAGCGGCGGCGCTGCATGGTGCCCAGGGTCAGCAGGGAGTCCCCAGCTGGCCCGGGCTCCACATGGTGCTGCTGCTTTGAAAGCTGGCGCCAGGCTGCACGTGGCGTTTCAAACCGGCAGACCGTGGGCCGCACATGACATTTCAAAGCCGCAGAGCCGTGTGGAGCACAGGGTTTGGCCCCGGGCTCCTTGCAGCACTGCCGCTTTGAAGCACCCTCTCCTCTTCCTGACAGAGGCAGCAAGCTGGGGGAAAGCGAAGTGTACATCCCAGTGTACAGTCCCAGCTACATTAGGACAGGCCCCCCCACGTTGGGCTGCTGAGGCGGCGGCATCCCTGTCCTATAGCCATCACCATCAGCAGATAAAGCCCGATCGGAGAGCGCTCTGCCTGGCAAGGGAGCATTCATCAATAGCGGTGACCTCTCTGCTGATTAGCTGGGTGGCCTCTGCCTGGCTCTTCGATTCTGTCTGCCAACTAATTTTGCAGATTTAAATCAACTAAGGTGGTGGGATTTGATTTTTTTTTTTAATATAATGGAGATTGCCTGTCTCCTAGAACAAGAAGGGACCTTGAAAGGTCATTGAGTCCAGTCCCTGCTTTCACAGCAGGACTAAGTACCATCCCTGACAAAGTTTTGCCCCAAATGGCCCCGCAAGGATTGAACTCCCAACCCTGGGTTTAGCAGGCCAAGGCTCAAACCACTGAGCTTTCCCTCCAGTTATACAACTGGTTTGAAATATATTAGCACTGAGCAAAGAATGATTTTGTAGTACTCTAGTTTAAAACGATTAGCCAGGGTCTAGCTAGCCAAGACTCAAGTTCAAAAGGAAGCTCTTTGGAACCTACTTCATATACACCCCAAGATCAGAGCTGCCAGACCTAGAACCCTAGCCCTGCCAATTATACCACACAGAAACTGGCATCCCTGAACTAACTCCGGAGCCAGCTCTGTCTTGCACCCCCAAGATTCACCTCACTCACAAACTACCTGCCTACTACAGATATTTAAAAAACAATGGATGGCAATATACCTATCTCCAGAACTGGAAGGGACCTTGAGTGGTCATTGAGTCCAGTCCTTGCCTTCACAGCAGGATCGAGCACCATCCCTGACAGATTTGCCCCAGATCCCTGAATGGCCTCCTCAAGGAATGAACTCACCACCCTGGATTTAGCAGGTCACTGCTCAAACCACTGAGCTACCCCTCCCCCCCAACACCAATTAAAGGGGGTGAGCAGGAAGAGCAGGCACTACAGCCTGGCTGGAGTGCCCCCAACTCCCCGCCAGCCACTGGGCTAGAAACAGGCAGGAAGCTGCTCCAGCCCCACTGCCTGTTAACCGGTTAAACCTTCACACCCCTGCCGCCTACTAAGTAAAGACGTGTCCCAGAACACACGTACTGAAAACTTGCTTACACTGTGTCTGTGTGAGGCTTTAGTTTGCACTGACTTCACCAGTGCTGCTTGTATAGCCAGGCTAGTATCTAGATGAGCTGAGGTACCCCTGGAAGCCCTGTGTACCCCTGGCTGAGAACCACTGCCCTGGACAACCTGACCCTGACTGGTGAGCACACTCTGCTTCACATGTTCTGTGTTGAGTTTAAGGCTTAGTCCTGTATTAGGCCAGCTCTACCCTAGGCCTGGCTGCTCGGTTTAGGGTACACAACTCCAGCCATGTAGAATACGCAGCTGGAGTTGGCTTCCCTTAGGCCAAGCTTAGCGGCGTCCCCAGAGCAAGGGGCAAGAGCAGGAGTGCTGGATGCTGGCAGGGGCGCCCTGGACTAGACTTGCTAAATTGAACTCGGGGAGATCGCCTGCAGCCGCAGCTATCTTCCATGGAGTGAAGACGTGGCCTAAGGCACTCGCGCTGGAAGCCGTGGACGAACACACCCTGAGCCCTAGGGACTGGGTAAGGATAGGCACCTTTCTGGAGCATTAACCAGGTTAGGCTTGAGCCCATGGAAAGGAAAGTTGGGGCCAGGGCAATGGAGATCTACAGACAAACACCAGCACGTTGTGGGCTATTCGTGCCACACAACCTCGTCTAGCAGTCACGTGCCAGCTCTCTGTGTTCTGGGATGGAGGGGACCCATCTCCCCACAACAGTGCACAGTCTGCGGCACACCACACATCTATTCCCTCATCCCATTAACCAGCCAGCTCCTGACCACTGAAGCTAGCTCCCCTTAAAGCTGCAGAGGGACACACAAATCGCATGCTCGGAAGGATATGGCAAACTGGGGTAACAAACAGGGGCCGACGTACCGTCTCCATACAGACAAGACACTCTGCCCCTCCCTGCAGATACTCTCTTCCCCCAAAAGACACTGTTTACAGCCCCAAGCCTCCTCTGTACGCCTTGCAACTGCAGCAGCCCCAGGCCTCCCTCCCCCAAGCGCCACCTACCTCTTGGACTCGGAGTGCAAACTCCGCATTTGGCTCAGCAGCTTGTCTGAAGACAGGCGGCATCCACCTGGCAAGAGACAACAGCGCCGGTTTGACTGCTCTTGGCACGGCTAGGAGCCCGGGCACCAGAGCCCTTCCCTGATTCCACTGTGAAACCAGTTCCTCTGGCCCAGCAACAGGGGCAGCCACGCGGCAGAGAAGAGAGGTAGGTGCAGGGAGAGGGAGTTACCAGAAGAGGAACTGGGCCCATCTGATTTAGCCCTTTCTGAACTGCAGGAACAGGGGTGTCAGGAGCCAGTTAATGAGATTCCCAGGCAGACCCAAACTGGGAGGTGCTGCTACCCCCATGAGGGCAGACGGGCCAGTGTCAGACACAAGGGGTGGGCAGGAAAACTGCGGCATGGGACACATCCCAGGGATAAAGGACACAGCCTTCTCCAGGATCTTTGCTGGGAGGGACAACGTGAACCCTTTCCCTGGCCCAGCGAAGGCCCAAGGCAGAGAAGAGCAACCCCCACCCCCGACCAGGATCTCTTGCTCTTTGGCAGATTCTCCCAGCAAATGGCCCTGCTCAGGGGATGGCTCCCCAAAGACGCTGGTTTTCAGCAAGCAGCAGAGATTTTGATCACCGCTGCCCCAAACTGAGCCGCACCCAGTAATTCAGACAAGATCAGCTGCTCTGCCAGCCAAGAGTAGAAGGGGAATGGTTAAGCCCTGTGATTCAGAGGGAGAGGGCCCAGCCTGCACGGCTCCAATGGGAGAAAACGGGGTTCAGGAAAAGCCTCCAAGCGTGGAGGCTAGACTTGAGGGAACGGCTTTGCCAGCTGCAGGAACCACTGAAGTACAAGGAGGCAGGAGCTGACTAGGAAATACAGCACAGAACCGTGGGGGGAAAAGGCACTTTCCCCAGTACCAGATCCCTCCCCCACCCAACAGGGAACAAATCCTTCCAGAAACCGGCCCCTCCCACCCCAGGAACCTGGAGAGGGAAAAGAAGGGAGCCAGCCCCCAGCTGGACAGTCTGAGGCAAAGGACCAGGGCCAGAAGCACTTAGACATCGGCGACGGCAGCAGCTCCCCCCCCCCCCCCCCCCCAAAAGAAGAGAAAGCGAAGAG